GGGGTGGCTAGTAGTAGTAGTAGCAGTAGTAGTAGTAGTAGTAGTAGTAGTAATGGTAGTTGTAGCAGTAGCAGTAGTAGTAGTAGTAGTAGTAGTAGTAGTAGTAGTAGTAGTAGTAGAGCTAGTAGTAGTAGTGGCAGTGGTAGCAGCTGCAGAAGAAGAAGTGGTAGTAGTAGTAGTAGTAGTAGTAGTAGTAGTAGTGGTGATGGTGGTAGTAGTAGTAGTGGTGGTAGTCGTCGTCGTCGTCGTAGCAGTGATGGGATTTGGAGAGGAGTAGGAGGAGTCGGAGTAGTCGTGGTAGTCTTAGTGGGAGCGGCGGCAGGTACTGCTACCAACCGTAGTATGATCTACACGACCTCCGGTACAGTAATTGTTGCCACTCCTACGGCGCGGCGGCGACGGCTTCGTGCAACTGCCAATCAGTCAGCTGCTACCGCTGATATTGCTTACTACCATTGCTGAAAGCACCACCTTCAAGATCAACGATCCCAAGCACAACCTGGAAATAACTTTGCAAGCCCTTTTTGAGACATCACTTGCAAAGGCCTTAATATTTGGTGTCGACGAGGGCTTTCGTCCGGAAGCAGGCCCTTCCGAAGCCGACGAATGCTTCTTCTCCCAGAGCCTTGGGCTGTCCAACCCCTAGTTGGGTGAATCCTGCGCTTATCAAGTTGGAGTTCTTGTGGAGTGCCATGGAAGTCCATTACTTATCGAGGCAGTTGTACCGGAAAGCTCGAACTGCAAATCGGACGCTGTTGAGGCTTCAAGTGTAAAGTGCAACCAAACACATGCCGGCACATCACAGACCCAGGTTGTGCACTCCTCAAGCTAGGAAGGCCATGTTGCTGTCGTGTCCACTTTTCCGCATCAAGAGAGGGCGCATGGCCAACGGATCGCGACTTGCCTTGCTCAGCTACTGCAATTGGGTTTGGGAAGTTCTTGCTGCAAAAGGAGCCCCAAACACTGGAGACGTTTTGATTTCACACGGGAACCGCAGATATGGACCAAGTCTACGAGTAGGTCTTGTCAAGGACACAGTAAATACTAGCGGTTTGGCCTCTATGGCCTCTAGGCTTCTAGCAGCTAGCACCGAAACCTGGTGAATTTTTCTTGCGCGTGTGCGGCTTTCTCAAGAAGCGAAGCCCTTGCGCGCCTTCGCATGTTCGAATTGTGTGCGTGGTAGCTAAACGACCGCATTTTTGCTCATCGCCCTCACAGTCATCTCACAAGATCCCGCTGAAGGACACAACCGCGACAAAAAAAAAAAAAAAAAAAATGTGCTCGAAATCATAGGGGCTGCCAGTTCTCATTCTATACGGAACTGGGATAGCTTCCATACAGTTGTAGCATGTGTGGATTCGGACACACCTCGCATGTGCGATCATGATACTACAAGCAGATGTAGCAGAAAGCATGTAGCGCTGATGGCAATAGCCGCGCGTGATGCAGCCCGCCTTCTTGTAAGTACCAAAACGTGTGGTCTGATAACTTCTACCTTGACCATGCTAGTCGTGCGTCACTGCTGCTGGAATATTCAAGCACTAGAACAAAGCACGGAAACTCTACAGACGTGCTCGCAAACGTGACAACTTTTTACACCCATGCCATCTCCATGGGAAAAACCCAGGAAGTGAGAGAGATGCTGTTGTTAGTCTGTAGCTAAAGCAGAGAACTTGTTCGGTCTTCCAAATATTCGAGTAAGTTGCTCTTCACGGAAAGCTTGCCTAGATTTGTTGAACATGAACAAACCAAATTCCCCACACGCCTTCTGCACTAGACAACCTTGCAAAGAAGAAACCCGACGACGCACGAACCCCGAAGATTGGAAGCGACGCCCAGGTGCTTTTGCTTATGCCCCGAACCCGAGCCCTTGAGCTTAAACTTGTCTGCCTCTGGAGAAACGCCTCAAGTCCATGTGGCGGCAAACCTCATACCCTGCTTTCCACGGTAAACCTACAACACCACCAGTGCTGAAGCCACCGTAAATCTGGCGAGACGTCCGAAACGCATGTAAAAATCCGTGTGAGCATGTGTGAGCCCTTGACGAGCCAAACTATTCATAGCATCCCAGTGGCTGCGAGTGATCTGGCCCCGATGTCCGTCGGACGGGCTGCAGGAGGTGATTGGCCAGTGAAAAGGTTCAAGCAAAGACAGAACTGTTCGGATTTGTCAGCATCGCAAGCTTCTCCTCTCTTTCGTAGAACCGTGGAGCAGTCTACTCTCGAAACTGACTCGCTTCTGATGAACGGTTGGGGTCTTAGCTGCGGTCTGTGGGTCAGCAGAGCCTTCGGCTCTCACTCTCGCACCAGGCAGGCAAGGCTCCACACATCATAGCTTTTAGAGTACTGGGCCCGCAACACATCTACAGTCGCACTTCCATCCGAAAACGACATACTCCCAACTTCGCGCGTTAAATGTAAAGCAGGAACGCCGCGGTCAAGTCCCGGGGGCCATTTGGCAAAGCTAGGTAAAAAAAAACGAGAGCAAGCACTGCGAATCATTAGCATGACAACGTTTCGCTTCGGGCCTTCATCGCCGATCGGGTTCATGCTACAACATAATAAGATGTAATAAGTAACATCCCATGGCACATGGCAAAGATTCATGCTGCCAGTGGCAGAGACCAGCTAGGTTTGTCAGGGAACCGCAGGTAGTCAAGAAGCTATTGTTACTCGACCCTGCTGGGCGCAGCCTGTTGCAACACTACAACGCGGATGGACGGCATGCGAAAAGTCTGTTGCCTTTATTTTCTTGGCACTGGCCAAGGGAAACCAAGACAATTGAAGCTCATGCAGGGCATCTCAGGACAACACGTTTCCACAGCCGGTGTTGTGCAAACAAGGGCAAGCGATTTACTTGGGCAGTCGAGAACATGGTCAGTCTCAAATTTTTACCTGCCTCGCTGACTGCGACGGCAGAGGATATCTTCGCGAGGAAAAACGCGGAGCCGTATCGCCAAAACACGGAGAGTCAGCAATATATGGGCAAGATGGACGAACGGAAAACGAAGAACAACGGTGTATCTCCATGTATTACTGGACAACCCTACTTTGCAAGTCACAAGAGCAGTGCTACACAATGGAGCCGCGACATTGCACTGTATGACTCGCGTTGCGGCGCTTTGTCAAATCGTCACAGCTGCACCGCCCTGAATGAGATATGTACGCAGGGGTCGGTCGTCACAGCTGCACTGTGCTACTGTAAGTAACAAGTGTATTGGAGCCGTCACAACTGCGCTTCTTTGACTCTTGGACTTTGTTCTCTGACTTCCGATGCCGTCAGCAACACAAAGGACATACCGTTGTGTAACTCTGCAGCGCCCGGCTAATGCACACTGTCATGCACCAAGCTGTCAGCCACTTAGACCATGGCGAAACCGATGCCCTGTAGCTGCTTCAGGCAAGGCGCCTCATTGATGCGTGGCCTTGCTGGCCTTGAAAGCATAGGCTGAATTTCAGGATTGACTTTACTCCACATATGTTCCATTCCACACCGTGTATGTATGCATGACTGCACATGGCATCGCATGGATATACAAACGAAACGCACCACAGGCCGACCCTAATTCTTTGCAGGCCCACAATGGCCCACATACCCAAGATTCTCACTTCGTGGGCGCAAAGGAACGATCTTACCCCGATGCCTGGGAGTCACGCTCCACCGGGTTGTGCGCACAAATGCAGTGCGGGTTCCCTGGGAATCCCTGAAAGGCTTGCCGGTACTTGCTAGGCTCACTTATTTCGCTTTTCTAATGGCAAAGTAAGTATATTGACAGGGGATTTGTAAAGCCCCATCTGATATGAAGCCCTACAAATACGTCATGGTGCCAGCAGTCTCATGATTCACCGGACCTAGCCCTAACAAGTCCCAACACCCGTCGACTCCAGGCTTGACCGGTCATTTGGCGATCTAGGAGCCAGCGGCGTCCAGAGAGTTGAGATCTTCTGACCTCTTCAAGCGTTTCGGGGGTAGGGCTTGTTTCCTGAGGTTCCGGTGGAGATATGACAAGTGGCGGAAGGAACAAAGAGCGTGGCTTCAGTTCTGGATCGGAAATTTGGTTCGGCTGGCGCACTCTCACTCGGCAGGCACGGCGTCATGAGGTCTGCTTGTTATTGGGACATGACAGTAACATGCGAGCACGCGTCAAACGACAAATTTTCTCGCATGTCACTGACGAAGGAGTCCACCATCAACGACTTGCCATCCAAACATTGAGCCCAAAGGGAAATCCGTGCAACGGAGTGCTTTCCTAGGTTTGGTTCCACAGATCCCATCCGAACAGAGCGAAACCAACAAGCCTGTGTCATGCAAGCAACTCCCATCATTACGTGGCTGGCTGACTTTAACCCCGCCGACTCCCTGATCCAAGCTCTATAGTAAACTTCAAAAAAGCCAAAGACCCGACACGAAGATGCCTTGCACACAGGACAAAGTGGTCCTCCTCCTGCGCGGCACCGGGGCCTGCACGGGCAGCGGGGGACTTAATGAAGCGAACTTCATACTTAGTAAATGCATTCCCGCACACTGTAGTCCACACCAGATTGAACTAAGAACAAACCTTGTAGCTCATGGTATCATTGCTGCTCACGTCACTACCATAAGAATGTGGCATACCTGCGCCGCATCCCAAGCTGCAGAGCTCGGAATCTTAATTTCCAACCTGCTGAAGCCTATGAGAACTCTCAGCCAGGACCTCCTGCGGAGGCGTGCGAGTGTATGACAGCAGCGGACAAGTGAGACTGCACGATAGCCGAGGAATCCTCAGCTTCGATTGGCCATGGCTGGCTTCAGGAAGCGGCAGCATGTATGCTCTCACAAACTGCAGCATTCAGGGGCTGCTGCAACCACAACCACAACCACCACCTCCACCACCCAAAACAACAGCGAGTCAGCTGATGACATACGGGCAGGCGTGCGCGGATTGCGCTCACAAATATGATCTACAGCCTGCTCCTGGAACCTTGTGCGCCTACAAAGTGGAAAAAACCCTCGAGACTCAGCCCAAGCTCTTCGAAACTTATGAGCCTCAGTATCCGTTTGGACTGCAGTCCTCGTGAAATTTTCCAGGGCGTCCCATAGAGAAAACCTGCCAAAGGTGCCTCATACTCGACCGAGTTCACACTTTATTCCTGGCACCGTTCACAGCCAGCGCTTTAGGGGAGTGCCGTCCGGGAACAGCAAAACATCAGATTGGAATTGATAGCTAACTGTCGATTGCACAACATACCGTCTGAAGCCCTCAGTGAGCCGCGCGGCTGAAGAACAATGATGGCTGCTGAGCTTTGCCACCAGGGGCTTTAATGACGCAAGCCTTGTCGATTGGACACCGCTTCTAGTAACTAGTAGTGGTAGTCATCGTTCTTTGCTCTTGGTGATGTTACCGTTGGTGCTGTGGTAGTCGTCCAGCAACAGTAGCAACAGCAGAAGCAGTAGAAGTAGCAGCAGCAGAAGCAGTACTAGTAGCAGGAGCAGGAGCAGGAGAAAGGGCCAAGCGAGAAGCAGCGTAGGCGTAGTAGAAGTAGTAGTAGTAGTAGTAGTAGTAGTAGTAGTAGTAGCAGCAGTAGTAGCAGTAGTAGCAGTAGTAGCAGTAGTTGTCGTAGTAGTAGCAGTAGTAGTAGTAGTAGTAGTAGTAGTTGTTGTAGTAGTAGTAGTAGGAGGAGGAGGAGGAGGAGTACCCCCCCTTCCAACCACCTCTCCTTAAGACTGTTCGTGCTGGTACATTGTCGG